CATTTCCTCTCTCTTTTATTGATCAAATTCTTGAGCGTGTGGCTGGTTATCCTTTTTATTGTTTCTTGGATGGTTATTCTGGTTATTATCAAATTGAAATTGCATTAGAAGACAAGGAAAAAACCACATTCACTTGTCCTTTTGGTAATTATGCTTTTCGTAGAATGCCATTTGGATTGTATAATGCACCTGTTACTTTTCAACGTTGCATGATGAGCATTTTTAGTGACATGGTTGAAAATTGCATGGAAGTTTTTATGAATGACTTAACTGTTTTTGGATCTTCTTTTGATGCATGCTTATTGAATTTAGAGAGAGTGTTGACTCGTTGCGAGGAAAAAATTTGGTTTTGAATTGGGAGAAATGCCACTTTATGGTGCCTTTAGATATTGTCTTAGGGCATATTATTTCTTCTAGGGGGATAGAGGTTGACCAATCGAAGATTGAATTAATCTCTAAGTTGCCTACACCTAGGACAGTAAAGGATGTGAGATCCTTTCTTGGTCATGCGGGCTTTTATAGGAGGTTCATACAGAATTTTTTCACCATATCTAGACCATTATGTGACCTCCAAGCTAAAGATGCTGCATTTGAATGAACACAAGCTTGTCAAGAGGCCTTTAAAACACTAATTGGCAAGCTTACCTCAGCATCCATAATGCAGCCACCTGATTGGACTTTACCTTTTGAGATCATGTGTGATTCTAGTGATTTTGCTACAGGTGCTGTTCTTGGACAACAAAGGGAGGAGAAGCCTTTTGTCATTTATTATGCTAGTAGAACTCTAAATAGTGCTCAGATGAATTAGTCCACAACGGAAAAAGAGTTGTTAGCTATAGTGTTTGCTTTGGATAAGTTTTGTGCTTATTTGATTGGTTCTCCTATTATTATTTTCACAGATCATGTAGCCCTTAAGCACCTTCTTACAAAGAAGGATGCTAAGGCACGACTAATACGGTGGATTTTACTTTTACAAGAATTTGACATCACCATCAAAGAAAAAAAAGGAGTGGAGAACGTAGTGGTTGACCATCTCTCAAGGCTCACATTTGAGGATACCTCTGACCACCTGCCAATCATGGATGATTTTCCTGATGAGCATTTATTTTCTGTTACTTCTCTACCATGGTTTTCTCATATTATAAATTATTTGGCTGCAAGTGAGATACCGGTGGATTGGAGCGCTCAGGACAAGAGGAACTTCATGACTGAGGTACGAAATTTCTATTGTGATGACCCTTTTCTTTTCAAATATTGTCCTGACCAAATTTTAAGACGTTGCATTCCTGATGAGGAAATTGCCAGCATCTTGGAATTATGTCACTCTCAAGCTTGTAGTGGCCACTTTTCAATGAAGAAAACCACTGCAAAAATTCTGCAGTGTGGATTTTATTAGCCCACCTTGTTTAAGGATGCAAACATCTATTGTCGCTCATGTGAAAAGTGTCAAAAGTTAGGAGTTATGTCCCGTTGTAATATGATGCTCTTAAACCCAATTTTAGTGATTGAAATTTTTTATTATTGGGGCATTGATTTATGGGACCATTTCATCTTTCTTTTGGATATCAATATATTATTGTGGAAATAGATTATGTGTCAAAATGGGTAGAGACAGCATCTTGCAGGAGCAATGATAATAAGACGGTAATTAAATTTCTTAAAGAGAATGTGTTATCTCAATTTGGTATACCATGTGCTATTATTAGTAACTAAGATACTCATTTTTGTAACTGTTCTTTTGAATCTTTGATGAAAAAATACGGGGTGGTACATAAGATCTCTATTGCCTACCACCCTCAGACAAGTGGATAGGTAGAACTTGCAAACAGAGAAATTAAGCAAATTTTAGAAAAAACGGTCAACCTAGATTGTAAGGATTGGTCTTTGAGACTAGTTGATACACTTTGAGCCTACCATACAGCTTTCAAAACTATTTTAAGCATGTCACCTTATAGGCTTGTTTTTGGAAAGCCTTGCCACTTACCTGTGGAGCTCGAGCATCGAGCCTATTGGGCCATCAAATATTTCAATTTTAACATGGGAGAAGCAGGTAAACTTAAAAAATTTCAGCTGACCGAAATAGAGGAGTTGAGAAATGATGCTTATGAGAACTCTAAAATCTATAAAGCAAAAATAAAAGCGTTTCATGATAAAAATATTTTGAGAAAAACGTTTAAGCCTAATGATTGAGTGTTCTTATATGATTCTAGACTCCATAAGCACCCTAGAAAACTTAGGTCTAGGTGGACTGACTATTTTATAGTGAAGAATGTTTTTGCACATGGGACGGTGGAAATAGAGAATCCTAAGGATGGTTAGATCTTTAAAGTAAATGGTCAACGCCTTAAAGTATTAATTGATAGGCAAGTTCCGGAAGTGAAAGACATTTAACTTGAGGATTTGGTCTATCAACCTTGACCACACCATGCAGGTATGTTTTTCTTTATTTGTTTTGTTTGTTTTGTGTCATTTTATTTTATTTTCTTTTCATGTTAGTTTGTTGTTGGTTTTTTTGTTTTTGTTGTAGGTTTGTCTCATTTTGTCATTTCAGGTTACCATCTTTGGTGCTTAATGAACTACCCACGTCACTCATCAGGTGTATTCTACCCTTTTTAGTTACTCCCCATTCAAATTTGATTCTTAAACATTGAGGACAATGTTTTATTTAAGTTGGGGGTGGTGGTGCAATTCAATATTTAAAATGCTTGTTAGAACTCTGTAGCATATTTTCATGTGTGAAATATTTTTAATTTTACATCACACGTGCATCCTTTTCACATGTGTACTTATTCTCATTCATAGCCATCTTCGTGAATTCTCCAAACCCACCATAATCAATTTTTGCTGAAGCATACATAGAACCCTTAATGCACTCATTCAAGCTTTGTGGTAAGATGGTGGTTTGACACATGTAGCTAGAGAACTCTTTAGCTTAAGTATTCATGTGAGTTTTGGAGAGGAGTGAGAGCCTACCAATGTAGTAAATTGTGATAAGCGTTCATTGATCTGTTGAACTGGGTACTTCTTTTGAGAATATCATTACATGGTTTGTGGTAAGATAGTGGATATACTTGGGATATGACAAAGGTCAACTTAGGATCAACGTTTGAGCCTTTCAAGCTAACCATTTCCACATTAGACCCCTATTAGCCAACTTTGAACCAATAAACACATGTAGCATTTTCTTTTCATATGCCTACATTATTCATACCTCTCCATATTGGAGTGTAACCTATACACTGATTTTCCCTACCCTTATTACTTCCAAGTGTGTACTAGATGTGGAATTCTTTTTGAAAAAAAAAAGAGACAGAGAGAAAAAAGGGAAGAACATGAGTTACAAGGTGTTCAAGTGAGTGAGCTGCAAAAAAAGAAAAAACCCAAGGCCGGGTAGAAATAGCAAAATACTAGGGTAACATAATTGTTCACCAAATTGATTAAAAAAAGGAAAAAAAGAAACGAAAAGAAAAAGAGGCATTATTCGATGACTTGAAAGGTTGAAGAGTACATCAAGTAAGAAATGTGGTTTATTGAGAGATTTAACAAGATTTCCTCTATATGTACTTGGAAGTTTTTGAATCCTTTCCATTTTTTTTATATAGCCTCAAACCTAAGCCGCGTTACAACCTTTTGTGTTGACCGTTTTGATCCTAAGTAAGCTATTGGGAAAGCGTGGTGGAAGTCTCATTTGTTAGTATTTCTATCATAAGATCAATGTTTGCTTGTTTCTTGTACAAAATTGTCTAATTCCCCATGAGAGTATGTGCACACCCATTGTCAACTCCATAGAGAGAATCTCCACACGAAACAATTTTATATCCATGAATTATGGAGTTGAACCTTTCGCTTGAGATGTTCTTGATGTTGCATGTGTCAGGGCTTCTGGTTAGATGGATATAGTTTGGAACACACACACACTCTGTGAATTACTTGTGATGGAGTTATTGAATTTCTAAGATTGTTTTGATATGTGAATCTGAAAAGTGTGACTTGGAGACCTTTGTGTGTGATATTCTTTAGTTTCTTTCATTGTTTCAGCATAAAAATTGCTAGGGACTAGCAATGAGTAAGTTGGGGGGTATGATGAGTGTGTGAAAGTGCATTTTAAATACTCAACTATGGGATTAAAATGCTAAAATGTGAATAAAAATAATTAGATATAATTTATATTATTGAATTTAACATATATTCACACTGAGATATTTTTGAGCATGATTTTTTAATATTTTAAATCTTAAATATTGCATTATTGGTTGGTGAGAGATAATTTATAATTGGGATTTACACTTAATATTTGTTTGAACTTTATTATTCAGGTTTTATATTTGTTTTTATTTTGAAGGCAGCCCATAGAATAAAAGACTAAAATTGATGTAGCTGTCAAGTGGGCCCAACACTCATAATTTTTATCGGGCTTCATCTTTCTCAAACTACACAAGATTTGGGCTTTAGGGGCTAAAATAAAAAGATGGAATAAAGAGGGGATGAAAATACCTTTTCTCAAGAAAAGGGGGGGGGGACTTTGACTTTTAAGAAAAACCCTTGCTTTTTCCTTGGGCTGAGGCGGCTATTGTTTTTTGTTCTTTATCCTTGGTGTGTGGCGGCTAGAAGAAAGAAGAAAAAGAAGAACAGAGGAGGCGGCTATTCAGGAAGCAGAGAGAGGAGACTCAAATTAGGGAAAAAGCTCTGATGTCGCCGATTTGTTCTATTTTTTTTAGGAGATTTTTGTTATCCATTATATTTATGGGTAACTAAATTCTCAGGTAGGGCGAGGGATGAACTTGTACGGTAGATGATATTTTATTTAATTTTAATTTATGCATTTAATTTTTAATTACTAAGACTCTTTTGTTTTACCATTTTCAATTTATTGTTGATATTTTCTTCTCCGAATAAAGAGAGGGCTTCTAGTGATGTCCCAATAACAAAAGCAACAGGGAAGCTTTGCGATCCCATTCCAAGTTTTTTGCTTAGAGATAATACCGATTGAAGGAGAAGAGATGCGAAGGTCCACCGGTATCTATGGTGATGGAGCAATTGGCGTTGAAGTAGGTGGTTAGGAACTCACTGGTGTAGTGGTGACTGAAAGGTGGAGTTATAGAAACTGGGTGCCATGGTGTTGTAGGCGAGCTTGAAGGCTACACAAATGCTGATCTAATTCACGTGGGCCCTGGAGACGAGGCGCCAAGAGCACGCCCAGGATGCGAGGATGAGAGAGGGCACTTTGGGCGAGACCCCATGGGCGCCGCTGATCGTGAGGCACCATGGGCACCGCTGGAGGGACGTGCCTATCATGGAGAGAGCGCCGAAGATGAGGCACAAATTAGGGAGGCCGAGGCGCTAGGGGTCGACGTCAAGGGCGATGTGCGCCAGTGAGCAAGTGAAGGGCGTTGATGGTAAGGTCTTACGGGTGAGGGGGCTGATGGCGAGGCGCCAGGGTAGAAGGGTGATGCTAGATGACAAACACTGGCAGTGGAGCCCACAATTGGGTTCGCCAGATATTTGGTATGGCCAGGTACTCGTGCTAGTGGCATTGCGAAACACTAGGCACAACCAGGCGATCATGCGAGCGACAGTGTTTGGGCTAGGGCACAAGTGGGTGATGTTAGATGTGGACCTGTTGACGTTGGGCGAGCTAGGCTTGGCGACAGTGGTTGGGCACGAAGCTAGGAAGTTTGGGTCCGAGGTCATGAAGTAGAGTACGCTAGGGGAGGCTAGTGTTCTGGTGGCACTAATTTTGGGCAGACGGCGGATTATATGGTTCATTCAGGTGGAACGTCACGGAGTTAGATCCCTTAAGGGTCTTCTAACAGTGGCCTGGGCAATTTTTCTCACCCTCACAACAACAAACATCGAGGAAAGGTAGTTCTTGATGATGACAAATCCAAAGTAAGTACCATTTCTAGTACCCTTAACACTAAAATGAGTGAGCCTGCTTGCGATGACTCATCTAGAGACATCTCCATTTATGTGGAGGTGCTTAAGGTTAAGCTGAGGTTCCCAATGCCTTATTCTATTTGTTGCATTCTCCATTGTTTTTCACTTGCACCAGGACGATTGGTGCCCAACGGTTGGACAGTTTTGCTGGGATTTCTGGCACTGTGGAGAAAAGCGCATCATGAGGATGCTTCTCTTGAAGATTTCTATGCGGTTTATACTTTGAGTGAGACTCCTACTCCCAATCGTGGCTGGTACTACTTTGCTCCAAGGGGAGGTAAATTGATTACTAGATTGCGTTCTAATTGCCATAGCTGGAAGGCTCACTTTATGTTTGTTGACGGAGAATGGGCTTCAGAGACTGACAAGGCTTTGGTACCGACAAGGTGGGATACTCCCAAGAGAATTGGTATGCTCGTTCTTTACTTTTTTTCCTTTGCCTTTTTTTGTAGTGTGTTCTGATAACATTTCTTCTACGCTCTCTAGTGCTCTCAAAGGACCAAGAATGGAAATTACAAGATGTGAAGGCTCACCCTATGAAGAACTTTGGAACTCTTATGCTCAAAGAGAGTGGGGCTAGAGACTCTCCTACTGGAAGTGCTAGGGTTGGTGCACCATCTCTGAGGCCTGACAGTTCTTCCTTGAAGAGAAAATGTATGCTAATGCCCTTGGATTTTCTTTCTTTACTTAGTTTTGCTTCAAGATAACACCTTATCCCACTACAGTGATAGGGTAGTGATGGAGTCCCGTTATTCCACTAAGGGTACTCCTCCTCCTAAGGTGGCGAGGGTAAGCAATGCTTTGGTGAGCCCCTCTCAGATGATGCCTCTTGTGGTGTTTCCCCAATCAATGACTCCTTCAAAGGTGATTGCCACTCCAGAGACTTCCAAAGTAGCCATACCTCCTACCCTCCATTCATCGAATCCTCCTGCAGAGACTTTTATAAGGGCAGTCACTCAGACCGTCTCTATGTTAGGTGATGTGCGGATCGTCAGGGAGCGACTTGGAAGATTTTTGTTTCCAGCAAAGATCAATCAAGTTGGTGCTTAGGGCACTGAGGGCATCATAGACATTGTTCTGGAAGGTTTGGCCTAGGTAAAGGTTTGTTTTCTCCCTTGCTCTTGTCCCTCTCTTGGATACTGACATTCCTTTATCTTCATTAGGTTTCAGTTGCGTCTATGTGCCCTTTTTTTAGGGTTATCTAGTTTAGCTAGTTAAGCTCAATTGTCAGGGGGGAGAGGTTTATTCTTGAAGCTGTAAAAAGGGATTTTTTTGCTGTTCAAGGGAGGATTGTTGAGCTTGAGGCTAATGGTGAAGCTTCTTAGGCTAAGCTTGTGGCGAACCGTGAGAAGGTTATGCTTAAAGAGATTGCTTGCACATGGGCTGAAGCAGAACTTGTGGTGACCCTCAAGAGGGCCGCTAAGCTTGAGGCAGAGCTTGTGACGACCTGCGATAAGGCCGCTAAGCTTGAGGCAGATGGTGAGGCTGCCTGCTTGAGAGCGAAAGTAGAGTTGAAGGTAGCTCATGAGAGAGTTTCCTAAGCTGAGGCGGATCTGTGATTGGCTCATGATAGGGCCACCAAGTCTAAGGCTGATTTAGAGAGTGGTCTTCTAGATGCCTTCATTGATGGCTACGAGGAGTTTTGGGGAAACATTTCTACTACTTTCCTTTTATTGACATTTTAGGCTTTGTGCATATGAGGCACCTGATGATGTTGATGGTGGTGATGGTGACTCTGACAGTGTAGAGGACAAGGAGGATGGCGGCCATGAGAGTAGTTAGAGAACTAGAGACTTTTGATTTTTTTTTTTTAGAAAGGCAGTGTGTAGCCTACTTTTGTAAAAGTGGTTTTTTACCACTGATGTTCACTTGAAATAGAATGCAATGAACTTTTTGAAGTAAATTTAGAAAATTTTATTTGATGACTACTCATGCTAAGCAATGGTGGATAATAACCCAAACAAGGTACTAGAAAAAATAAAATCAAGTCCCCAGCTTTATTACTTATGCCCTCCTTAAGTGTCATTGGTAGTACCTTTCAGATACTCAACATTCCATGGATGGGGTAAGACTTTTCCTTTTGAATTCTAGATCCTATAGGTGTCTGGCCTCACTATTTCTGTTATGAGATAGGGTCCTTCCCAATTCGGTCCAAGCTTCCCTTCTTGCGAATCCTTCATGGCGAGGATTACTTTCTTGAGAATTAAGTCTCCTAGTAGGAAGGAGCGAGGTTTCACCCTCGAGTTGTAGTATCTCGCTATGTGGCGTTTGTACTCCGTGTTTTGAACTATGGTCATTTATCTTTCCTCCTCCACCAAGTCGAGGATGATGCGGAGTCTTTCCTCGTTGGTGATTGGGTCGTGATGTTGGAACCTTAAGGAACATATCCTAATCGTCACAGGTATAACTGCTTTAGTTCCAAAGGCGAGTGAAAAAAGAGTTTCTCTAGTTGGGGCTCTTGGTGTCGTTTGGTAGGACCATAATACACCTGAGAGTTCGTCCACCCAGAGACCCTTTGCTCTTTTCAGCCTCGTCTTTAGGTTGCGTAGTATTGTTCTGACTATGACATTTGTTTGTCCATTTGCCTGTGAGTGCGTTGGGCTAAAATGAAGCTGTTTTATTTGGAGGTCAGCATAAAACGAGTTCAGAAGTCTGTTGTCGAATTACTTGGCGTTATCACTGACTATAGCGTGGGGTACTCCAAAACGACATACTAGATTCTTCCAGATGAAGTCCTTGACTTTTGAATCTGTTATCTTTGCTAAGGGCTCGACCTCCATCCACTTTGTGAAGTAGTCGATGGCGTTATCACTGCCCCTTACTCAGAGGCAAGGGGCCTAAGATGTCGATGCCTCATTTGAAAAAGGGTCATGGACTTGTGATGACTATCAGTTCTTCTGGTGGCTGCCTAGGCATAGTGGTAAAATGTTGGCACTTGTCACATTTTTTGGTGAACTCCTGTGAATCCCTAACCATGCTAGGCCAAAAGTAACCCTGCCTGAGTGCCTTGTGGGCTAGGAAGCGTCCTTCGGAGTGATTTCCACAAACTCCTTCATAGATCTCTCATAAGGCATAGTTAGCTTCATTTAGGGAGAGGCAACGTAATAGTGGTAGGAAGTAGCCCTTTTTGTATAGGATGTCCTACAAGATAGTGAACTTGTAGGCTTTCATTATGAGCTTCTTGGCCTCCAATGGGTTGTCTGGCAACGTGCCTTCCTAAAGGTATGCCCTTATTTGGGTCATCCAGTTCGACTCGACAGATGTGCAGTTGATGTTAATGGCTTCCACGTCTAGCCTAATTGGTTTGAATTGGTGACCGATGAATGCTGGTCCTGATGGGGCTTCCGAGGATGAGGCAAACCTGGCTAGTGCATTCGTAGCGAGATTGTCTCCCCTCGAGATGTGACAGATCTAGAAGTGGTGGAACTAAGTCAGCAAGGCTTGCACTATTTCAAGGTTCTATTGCATTCTAGTTCCTTTTGCTTCGAACTTGCCCTTCTCTTGGTTGACTATCAATTGAGAGTCACTATAAGTGATGAGGTGTTGGGCTTCCATTTCAATTGTCAACCTTAAGCCAATGAGGAGGGCCTTATATTCTACTTCATTGTTGGAGGCCACAAAGTGAAGCTTCACGGCATATTTGATAGGAGCACCATCGGGCTGATCAGGATTAGGCTTGCTCCACCTCCTTCGCTGGTAGAAGAGCCATCAACGTAGAGTTTCCAGGGAGGCGGTAGAAAGGGGGCCTTGGAGTCCAAGGTGCTCGCCTTTGGTGCTAGGATGCCTTGGGCGCTGCATCATGTTGTTTTGGGCGCCAGGTCTACGTGCTTGTGTTTGATTATTCTTCGAATGAGGCTTCCTGATGTGTCGAGGTTCCGCTGTCTTCCTCCGCCGGTGTGAGCTCGGCAACGAAGTCCGCAAAGACTTGTGCTTTAATGGTTGCCCTTGGTTGATATTGCACATCAAACTTGTCAAGCTCTACTGCCCACTTAGGGAGTCTTCCAGATACATTTGGCTTTCCCAGGACTCTCTTTAGAGGTTGGTTCGTGACGACAATGATAAAGTGACTCTGAAAATAATGTCAAAGACGTCTTACTGTTGAGATCAGGGTGAGTGCCAGCTTTTCTAGCCCTGAATATTTTATCTCTGTTCCTCGGCCCTGGTCACGTAATAAACAGGCTTTTGCACTCCTTCGTTGTCCCTAATGAAGACAGAGCTTACTGCCGATATTGAATCAGAGAGGTACAAGTATAAAATTTCACCTAGCGTGGCATGTGAAAGGGGCGGGTGCGTAGCCAAATAAGGCTTTAACTTTTGAAAGGCATATGAATTTTCATATTTTAATATAATAAAACAGAGTCTCATGTTTGAACTACTTAAGTTTTTCGGTTAGAAAAGTATAACAAAAATTCAGATCATTTCAATCCAGTGATTTATATCTTTTAATCTTTTGACCACGATAACTCATTTAACTTTTAACATTTTAACTACAACAATTCGTTCAAATTTTAATTTTGAATCACAATAACTCACTTAAATTTTAATTTTTTAATTATAATAATTCAACCCATACATTAAAAAAAACATACTTTACACGGAGGATCGTATTTCATAAGTGACAGATTCACCTACGTGGGGGCAGTGACTTGTAATTGTAAGAGCGGCAAATGTGAATCCTTAAGCGTGAAGCATTAGCACATAGTGCAATAAAAGCCAGAGATCGGCTGTCAGAA